ACTTCTCAACCAAGGGATCCCCAGAGACTGTTCGGGGGTTCCCCAGAAATTACTCCAAAACCAATTTTTTAGTCCACAAATATGAATATGTACTGAGGTAATAAAGACAGTAGTTGATTTTAAAAAGATGTACTATACCAGAATTAAATGATTGAAGCAAACCTAAAGGGGGCATTAATTTAATATATCAAACTCCTATAAATGGCTAAAATTTAGATGTATTTGTTGTGTTGATGATGATGTTGTTGGACTGTGTGTATACTGTGCAAAATTACCTTCACGCATCCTTCAAGATCCTTCACTCAGATGAAGAAGATCACATAACAGAGGTGTACCAAAAGTTCTCCTCTCATCTGTTACCTTTCATTAATTCCGGGGGCAGAATTGACCTTTTTTTTCATCCTGAGGAAGATGTAGGCAGCAATCAGAAAACGTAATTATGGAGTTTGTAACATGAGGTTGGGAGGAAGATTAGATTCTAACCTTGCAATACTTTCATCCGTGTGTAAGTCACACGACCAGGACTTTCCTTCACCTGTTTCTCTCCAGCCCATTTACACTTTTTCATCCGTTTTCAGAACACTTCTTTCAATTCAGGGTTAAGGGGGAGCCGGAGTCTATCCCAGCAAGCACCAGGTGCAGGCAGGGTACACCCTGGATGGGATGCCAGTCCATCACAGGGCAGACAAAAAGACATAAACACAGACGCACATAAACCCATTGGGTCACACCAGGGCCGATTTTCCCAGAAGACAATTAACCTGCTGATATGTTTTGGGTCTGTGGGAGGAAACCAGAGTAACTGGAGGAAACCCACACAAACGCAGGGATGCACAGACAGCACCCTAGATCTGGAACTGATCCCTCGGCTGCAGAGCCGCGAGGCAGCAACGCTAACTACCACACTAGCGCACTGCCTGGGAAGAAACATAAAAAAAACAGATCTATTTAGCATTAAAAACAAATCAGTCGGCCATGTTTTAAACATGCAACTCGCTTTCCGTTAATTAAGACAATCACTTTAATTTGCGCAGACATTCGCCTTGCGACTGGCAAGGCTGATTACAGGTTCACAGCCTCACTCTCCGGAAGCCATTTTAACAATTGGTGCTGGTAATGGCCAAAGCAATCCAGAAAGTGTAAACAGGCGGGTGTCCGCAATTAGCACCTCTTGTAACGATGATTGTTTTCATTAGTCTGTGGCTACACAAGCAAGTGTAAAGAGCCAAACTCTCTCCAGGTTTTTACATTTATGGGTGCCAAGAGCCACTCATATCCTGCCTCAGAGAGCCATTTGTAGTCACTATCCTCCCTGAACCCTAATGATTTCTGTAGTACTGCCATAAATCCTAGGTTTCATGTTTTCTCTGAGGGATGTGAGTTCCATCCAGGTAGAATACATGACCTGTGTAGAATATTTATGTTTGACAGGAATGTAAACAGTAATTTGGAGAGTAAAAACAAACTAAACTGGAATACCTCTGTATTGTACACTAACACGAGACACTATTGTTTTAGGAAACCACACAGTACAATCCTCAAAGGTTATTTTTAGTTTAAGTTAAGGAAAGGTAAAGCACTTAATTTTCCTGGAACAAATCAGTGTTTTGGACCATATTTGGCATGACTTATAATTTTTGACAAATTATTACAAATGTTATCTACCAACTAAAGATTTTTTATTTTGATCCTTTTTTCTTTGTACAAAAGGTGTACATTTTTAGTACGGAACAAGTAAAGGTTTATTCCATCCTGAAAAGAGAAGAAAAGAAACACAACATTTCGGCTGTGGAGCCTTCTTTGGGTGTGGAAGGCTCCACAGCCGAAACATTGTGTTTCATTTCTTCTCTTTTCAGCATGGAATAAACCTTTACTTGTTCCTTTGCAGCCTGCTGTCGCAGCTGCCTACTTGAACCACATTTTTAATATGGGTATGAGAAGTTGTACAGTACGTACAGTAAGGAGGTAAAACAAGACCTCCTGTGTATCAATCAGTTGCAGGTGAAAACTATACTTATTTTGTGTCAGCAAGTTTATGAGAGATAAGGCACTGAAGCAGAACCAAAGCAACAGTGCAGGATGTACAACTGGAGTAAGCTGAGCTTAGACATTGCAGCACACAAAGATCCTATGAAGACAAGTATCTTGTGGAATATTTTCGACATGCATAGATGGCCAGTGCTTTGTTTTAAATGCTTAAAGCCCTTAAGAATATCACAGGAATTGTTCTTTTCTCATAATAATAATAATAATAATAATAATTGCTTACACTTATATAGCGCTTTTCTGGACACTCCACTCAAAGCGCTTTACAGGTAATGGGGATCCCCTCCACCACCACCAGTGTGCAGCCCCACCTGGATGATGCGACAGCAGCCACAGTGCGCCAGAACGCTCACCACACATCAGCCATCAGTGGGGAGGAGAGCAGAGTGATGAAGCCAATTCATAGAGGGGGATTATTAGGAGGCCATGATTGGTAAGAGCCAATGGGAAATTTGACCAGGAGGCCGGGGTTACACCCCTACTCTTTTCGAGAAACGCCCTGGGATTTTTAATGACCACAGAGAGTCAGGACCTCGGTTTTACGTCTCATCCGAAGGACGGCGCCTGTTTACGGTATAGTGTCCCCGTCACTATACCGGGGCATTAGGACCCACACAGACCGCAGGGTGAGCGCCCCCTGCTGGCACCTCTAACACCTCTTCCAGCAGCAACCTTAGTTTTTCCAGGAGGTCTCCATCCAGGTACTGGCCAGGCTCACACCTGCTTAGCTTCAGTGGGTTGCAGTGATTTCAGTGTTCAATTTACAAAGTCAATCTTGTCAGTAGCTCCACTTGAGGTAAGCCTTGCAAAGAGACGCAAAGGATCGGAGAGGGAGAGAAAAAGAGGTGTGGCCATTTAAAAAAATCTTTATAAAAACATTTTAAAGCATAAACATCTCCTGTACAAGGCTGAAGATATGAAATACAATTTCTATTTAAAATGCATATTCATGTGGTTTAAAAGGCATTCTTACGGGTATTGAGATTCATCAATACAGATTTCCGTTATCACCTGGTTTTACATGCGAGAGTGACCTCCTCTCATTGGTAAGCTTTCCTATCATGTTCTATTTCTTGACAGACACAAACACAAAACTCACATTGAAGATCTACCAAAGCTGACACTGAAACAATTACAGGACGTTCTCCGTTATTGAACAATGTCTATTTTGGGAACCTGTACCATTCAAGAAAATCATGCTGTGTCCCTTCTCCTTCAGGGAAAACATGATACTGTTTACATTAGGTTGTCATTATGTAAATAGGAATTAAACCTAAATGTATCTGGCCACTGGGTATCATGCTACCTACTTGTTTCTGTAAGATAACAACCAAGAGCCAACAAGCCCTGAACATGAAAACACCTATTATCAGGTGACAATAACAAACTCGGAATGTTTATGATGGTTCTGAAACAAACTGCATCCTTCTTCATACATGCACAACACTAACTAAATTCTCTTCTGCGACATTAATAAACGGACTATTTAAAGAGCATTACCTGCTCAAGACGGTAATACCAGAGATTTTCAACTAGTTGTTTATGGCATCTAATTACCATCTCAGTGGGTTCTAGATGAGTAGTGGCAGTGCTGCTTAAAGACCGCCTTAAGAAAAATGGAAAAAAAAGTTTGGCGATAAACTGATAATGTTCTTTTTTACCTACTGTTGTGTTCTCTTTCAGTTGTGCAATAAGAGGAAAGAAAGGGAATTTAGAGAAAAATGAAAAATATAAATAAATCTGTTATGCTGTCTGAAACTAGATTTCATTTTCAGAGTTTTTAAGAAAACTAAAGATTTTGAGTTTGTATTACCTCTTTCTAAAATGAAGACTGACGTATTCGATCAAATGCCAGTTTATGGGCTTTTTAAATTTGCAACATTTGTTTAAAGTAGTTCTTTAACCTAGTATATTATGTGACCCAGTATTATGTTAAATTTGGGAAATTATGGCTTGAAAGGATTTAATAATAAAATGTGTTTACAAATATTTGAAGTGAATAAGTGAGCATTTCACATCACTGTTTATCCTGAGTGGTCATCTTAGAAAATGTCACAGCCAGCATGACTTAAACGTGACTAGAACTCTGCAAGGGGCTGATGGAGACAATCTTGATCTAGAGATGTACTGTAGAAGATTATGGGCACAGACCACTTCTCCATTTGATTCTTAACTTGATGATACAGAACGTTGATGCTTAAACTAGTGACTGAGCTTTCTAAAATAAATTAAATAGATCACACCTCAACTATTAAGGCTAACACAGAAATACCTGCTTCCAGAAAGTCTTTCCTGACAAGATTCATGCTGAATGGGATAGGAGACTTTATTGAATATGCATTTCACAGAAATAAAAACCTTCTTTGTATCATGATGCAAGTGCCTTTTTTCCTTGGAGATGCTTTCGCTTTCACTGTATTTCTAAGAAATGGTAAAGAAGCAGCATCTAAACTAAACTGCCTTTGGTGAGATTGTTTCATTTCACACTTCACCCTCCGCCACAAACAAGCGCCGATAACCGCCGCAAGTAAATTTGTAAAAAATATTTGTAAAACCCACAAGGGACGGTCCCTCACCGTCAGTGACCCCTTAATGTGAGTAGTGACCCCTAAATGTGAGTAGTTCAAGAGAAGATGCCAGGGTCGTCACGTAGCACTGATGCAATTCTTTTGCAAGTATCTAGAGACATAAAAATGTATATATTTATCGGGTGCATCAAAGGAGAATAAGAATTCATGATACAGAGCACTACGCCGTTCTTCTCTAAATTCTCCGATCACATTATGACGATTGCGCTTAGGAGATGCGCCCGGGTGCAAAATGTTGGATTTGGGGATTTCGCTGGATATGCGAGCAATTAGAGCAAACGTCCACTTGCTCGCAGTGAAACTTGTTCAGGCTTTTGGGGGCAGGTTTGTTGTTGCTTTGACGTCATGGAGCGTTAGAATGAAGCTGACACGAGTACTATAAAAGCCGGTCTGAAAGAGGCAGCAATTTAAGATTGCCTACTTCAGCCAAATGAGACTGTGATCTTGGTTGGAACAAGAGGTAAAATGTCTTGCCACTACCTGCCAGCCATACTCGTGTCCCTCCTTACGACTGAATTCACTCTCTCAGCTGCTCAAGGTAAGATATTCAAGCGTGGAGACTTTTTAAATGCAATGCCTTCACCTACTGTATCAACATTTTCTAAGTCTGTTTAAACTTTTTAGGATGTTTATAGTATCTGGAATATGTTGCCTGGAATGTAAATTAGCTTTTTAAGCTTAAAAACCAATTGTCGTTCCTGTTTGATGGTCTTTTTGCTCATCAAGAGGCTTATTTTGCAAGACGAGCTGCAGAATGACCACAATCAAGTTGGACATCTTCAAATAACCACGTGCAAAGAATGTCATTACGTTCTGAAAAAAAAACGTGCTCAAAGTAATATTACTTAAGCATCTAGCAATGTTGGAAATCTTTCTTTCCTAAATCAAGGAAAAACACGTTACTCACTAATAGAGAACATTTTGTAGTCCAGACCATATACATTTTCAATTAAACAATGGCTAATTATAATTAGGACCAGCCCGAATTATCTAATTGCTCTTGAACAACTCTGCAAAATTTATTTTGTCCATTTAATGCTCCAGAGACCAATTGAAATTACGTATTTTTGGGAAGGGATGACTAATTTTTCTTTTTCAAAATAAAGTATTCAACAATTTATTGATACTAATGGTCATGTTTACAGGCAAGGTGTTGGATTATAAGTATAGAGGAAATGTATCCATATTTAGTATCGTAGTAAGATTCTGTTCACAGCTACCACAAAGTACTTTAAACACGTATGCATGCGTTTGTTTACATTAAATACTGGAGATTCCCTCTGAAGACCCAACAGGCATCCATTCAGTATAGCATTGCTGTGGTAGTTATGGAAACGGATGTGGACCATTTACAGCACAGCGCTTAATGAAGTGAACAGAAGCGCATGCTAATGAATACAAAACCATTATCCGTTTAATCTATATGAAGCACGCCCAAGAATCTTAAAAAAACGATATCTTTAAAGGCTATTGACTTGTTCTTGAAACGAGCAACACGATTGCTGTGGGGATGATAAAAAAAGTGACTGAAGTCTCAAGACTAAAGCGGTCTTGAGTTTCCTTTTGGAGTTACGTGCTGTTCTTCTCCGTCGCATTCTTTTTAAAGCGTGAAAATCTCCGCTAAAATGACAAAAACGAAACTGAGTGCAAACTTTACTTTAAGAAAAGCCTAATGATGTTTTTTTAGGTAGATGCAACACTGTATCAAATGAAAACAAAAAGACGCGTCTTGCAAAGCTATAAATATATAGTACTAAACGTTAAGCACCATAGTTTTGACTCCCTAGCGAACCGTAAACGACTAGGGGCGCATTTTGTCCGCCTTCTAAACTCTACCATCTCAGTGGCTGAGAAACTCCCACAACTTTCTTAATATCATAGAGCTGTGTGCCAACACTAGACACTAAGAAAACTGTTGTGGCATAGTTCTGTATTCGAATAACTGTAGGTGCTCTCCTAACCACATAGTGCCATAGAACATGGTACATACTGTAGTGAAGAGCAGAGAACACTGGGACAATAACCATGCCTTCTTGTGAGTAGTGAGTCACCCACTTCTTTGAATGACCAGGCTTGTTGAAGTTTGCAAATCAATAAAATCTTCACAGCTGATAAGCACAAAGTATAAACTATGTTATACATTTCTACTGCAATAAAAGGCATGCATGAGAGTTTTGTGATCTAATTTGATGTTTGACTTCCTTTTAATTTTTTGTTTTCATTACTCATCGCTTTCTTGGGGAAAAGAAATTCCTTTTGAACCAATGCAAACGAGTCAAAGAAGCAGTAGGCTGCTTAGGGCTTCAGGCAAAGATCAATAAGAAAATATCTGGAAACCTCACAGTTCCCACAACAAGCTGAAAAGGTAGATGCAGTACCCACAGGAACCTTCCCAAGCTTTAGCAAGATGTAGGATGTACAGTGTAGCACTGACATGAGTGCTTTAGGCACACTTCAGAGTGTTCTAGCACTTTTGCTTATTGAAGCCGTAATAATATGTCCCACGCTGTTTATCCAGTGGTTGCAGATGTATAACTACACCAAATCAAGATGATGTTTGAAACAACCACTTTCCTTTCTTCTATGAGACAGTGCAAGGTTGCTGTGGTGTACAGTGGACCTTGTTTTCATCCTTAGCCAAGTGAAGGTGGTTCTCTGTGTTACCCTTCAAAACCAATACAAAGCTTTTTTTAAAAAAACAAAATTGCATTGTTTATGCTGTTAAGAGCATACAGTTTTTACTGTTGTAATAAACTGAACCAGGTGCACAAAGCAGTTGGGGCAGGGGGATGTTGTTAATTTCACATACAGAGCAGCTTTAAATGTAATTTTAGTTAATTAAAATGGATAAAGCTCCATGCTTTAAAAGTTATTTTTGAACCACGTTCTTCTTTTCGAAGTCCTATAAATAACGTGGGTGATTTAAAGCAAATCTAAAATGAATATGTCCAGCACACACAAATACAGGGCTTTAAAGTGTCATCTTGATGCAAATTGGTAAATTCAAGATTATATTTTCACTTCTTACATTTTGTTTCTGCCCATTTGCATTTTTTTAATGTACTGTGGAAGTTCTAGATGGCATGCCAATAGCAAATATATTATATTTATACTTTGCTTTTTCCATTCAAAGGATATGCTTATTGGAGTCTGGTATAGCATGACTTTTATGGAACCTTGCTATAATCTAGTTAAAGAATGGCACGGATCTGTAAAATTAGTATGAAGAATATTTAGAGAAAAGCATGTTACTTATTCATCGGTCAATGAAGCAGGAGGACCTACAGTACAACAAAGGTACATTTCCAGGAGCTGTAAACTGACTCATGTTTTTATTTTGTGTTTCAGGTGTTAAGTGGACATACTTTGGTAAGTATGTTATTCTTGGCTGTGGCACTTGCAGACTGCTAAGCATGTTTTTAGAAGCTTTTAAATGAAGGTCTGGACACTCCTGTGTCTCTGTGATTTGGTAAAAAGTCTTGCTGTCTCACCCTGAATCACCATTATAACATCTTGGCTTCTCTTGAACTTTAGCATATCCAATTACACCACTCTTCACTGGAAAATAGAAATTACTGTAATGCCAGACAAATTGCCTAGGTCTTTAAGGGTATAAAGTTGAATTCACCTCACACATTCTTGTATTATCAGCAGATTTGCAATGAAATGGTGGTTTATTTTTTTTAGCTACAGTTTACAATCTATTCAGAGTCCCAGAGGGGTTGAAAAGAAAGGGATACTTGAACCAATTTGGCTTGAGGGTCACAACCTAAAACAATCTCTTCAGATTCCCTCGGTTCTCATTCATTCTAGAGGTCAAACTTTTTCCTGACCACTTTATCAAAAATTCAGACTCGGTGGCCTTAATTTGCCTACAGACTGGTGACATATTCCCACTATACACTTCTGATTACTCCATTCTGTCTGAATTACTCCCATATCGCTAATTAGCACTTCTGCTAATATAAAACACTCCTACTGTGCTTTGCTTCTTTGTAAGAAGCACAGTGTTGATGGTACTGGAAAAGGTCCTTATTGCTTGTCTTAAGTCCCAAAGCCCAGTCTCATTCCTCCACCCTTTTAATAACTGATGTCTTCAGCATTTAAATAACAGAGCGAGCTACCGTGTAAGCCAGACCAGCAGTTGCTTAAATTCCAGGACTGAACCTTTGTCCACTAATAACTGCATTCTAAACCTCTTGCTTTGGAGAAAGTTTGAGGACTGCAATTGAGGAGCAGTCAAAGCTATGGTTGGTCACCCCATGACTCAGACCTTCATTTTCCCCTTAAGTCTGTGTCTTTCAGCCTTCACTTTGTCAGGATGCAAGTACACAAGTTAACAGCCTAGCAGGCCCACAATAATGGGAAATGCTGTGATTGCAGCAGCATTAAAATACAAAATAGGTGGGACAACAGTAAGCATGTTGCATTGTTCAGACAAAACATTACACTGTAGACTAGAAAATTACTGCTGTTCATCATTTCCCCATGCTTATACAATGGACGTGCTTTGTTTTGCCATATTTTGTCCTAGGTTGCCAAACTACCTTATACTTTCCATTATTTTCTGCAAGGCCTTTATAATGCTTCACAGCGAACTATTGTACATTGTTGCATGCCCGAATACCCCGTGCCCTTCACAGAACGTCTTTCGAACAACCCTTCCAGTGGTGTATTTCATTCTTATGATGGCTGTACTCATGATTAATGCATGATGAGTCTGTGCTTTGTGGTTTAGAGCAGGGCTGTCTAATCCTGTTCTTGGGGGGGCAGTGCTGGTTCTCATTCCGATCTGAAGCAGCTGGTCATAGCTTTAACTGGACCAATTTAACAGCTTCTCTTGGCTCTTCAGGTGCTGTCTCTATAAGGAGCTCCTGAAAACCTGCAGGCACCCGATCTCTTGGACCAGGACTGCACAGTGCTGGTTTAGGGTTATAGCCAACATTATCTATTAAAGTAGTTCAAGTAGGTAGCTGAGTCAGCATGTGCAGGCTGCGAAGGAACAGGCAAAGGTTTATTCCAAGATGAAAAGAAATGCTTTGGCTGTGACACCCGAAGAAGACTCCACAGCCGAAATTTTCTTTTCTTCTCTTTTAAATAAAACCAGTAAAGGTTTATTCCATGCTGAATGTTTCACACAGTATTTTAGGAATGGTAAAAAAAATGCTCAGAACCAATGTACAAATTAACTGGTCCAGAAGCAGCAGAATGTAACTGCTTGTCAGGCCTTATTAGAGGATCTGCTATGCAGCAGTTTTTCCTTATTTGAGGGATTTCTTTAAATCTATCTCAGGCTTTCATTATCCTTTTTTTGTAAACAATATGCAGTGGTCTGCGTGTATTACTCAATGCTTTGATGCTTTTCTGTTAAACCAAGGAAATGTATTTAAAATCCGGTGACAAAGGAGTAATATTTGTCAATATGATGGATTAGGAAATTCCAGAGTATACATTAACCCTAGGGGCATTGCTATGCTAAAGATAAGCTAGTGTTTCCTAAAGGAAGAACACAGCTGATAATGTAAATAGTTGTAGTGGTGGAAACAATGGTAAATGTGCATTTAAAAAAAGCTAGATCTCGGACCCTTTTGATTTGCAAATCAAAATAAAATGCCCCTTCTTAAGCATGTTAAGTGATGACCTGAAGAGAAATCTCATTATCATAACAGATCCTTAATCTTCTCCATCAATCTAAGCTGTTTTTATTATAATAAACTTTACTTTATAAACCACCTTTTAAAGCACTTTACATGATGACAACAAATAAAAAGAATACACAAGATAAAACACAATTACAATATATAGAGGAGACTGTGGATGGTGGTACTAAGAAAAGCAGAGGGGTGAAGAAATGAACCAGTTAGTGTAAGTAAAGGCTTTTCTAAAGAAGAAGGTTTTGAGTCTGGATTTGAAGGAGTTTAGAGAAGGTGACTCTCTGATATCCTTGGACAGAGAGTTCCAGAGCTTGGGGGCATAACAGGAGAAGGCCCTGTCGCCCATACAATGTAGACGAGCTTGGGGGACAGTAAGGAGGGCAGAACTTGAAGAGCGGAGGTTGCGAGGTGGGTAGTAGGGCGATAAAAGTTCAGACAGGTATTGAGGTGCCAAGCCATGTAAAGCCTTGTAGGTGAGCATGAGGATTTTAAAGTCCACACAGAATTTAAAAGGAAGCCAGTGCAAGGACTCCAGGATAGGAGGAATGTGATCATTTGCACTTGACCTGGTCAGGATTCTGGCTGCTGAATTTTGGACATACTGGAGTTTGTTCAAAGTAGATTTAGATACCCCAGCGAGCATTACAGTAGTCAATTCAAGAGAACACAAATGTGTTGATCAGCTTTTCAGTTAGTTAGTGATAGCATAGGGTGTAGTCTAGCGATATTTCTGAGGTAAGATTTGAACCATTTGAGAGCAGTGTCAGAAACTCCAAACATAGTCTCAAGACAAGAGAGAAAGATGTTATGGTCAACAGTGTCAAAAGCAGCACTGAGATCAAGAAGGATGAGTATAGAAAGAGAACCAGAATCAGAAGCTATTAGAAGATCATTAGTGACTTTGATCAGGGCAGTTTCTGTGCTGTGACAATGACCGAAGCCAGATTGGAGGGGAGATTTTGCTGAAAACTTTTAATCATACAGTCATCCACTAACACTTATTGCCATGAGATAATCACACAATTTGTTTTTACCTTAAGTTATTTTAGACTGTTTTGTAGTTAAAATAATAGAATTGTCCTGGTTATCCTATTTTGCTCAAAGGCAAAACCCTTGTGCCTGCAACCCAAACCAGACAGACTTTTACAGTACATAAGTGTTACTATTCTAAACTTTAAAAAAGCACACATTACATTGTTAAAATTTGACTAGATGTAAAATTGAGTAAAAGCCTTTTGGGGACGGGGGGTGGGAAACAGTAACAGATCAGTCAAGAAAGCATTATCTAGCAAGAAAAGGGAAACAAGTCATTTCTGCTTTCTTGTTTTCAGATGTAAATAGACACTTCCCCCCAAGAGTGATTAGAGGACACTTCATCCCTGGGGATTTGTCTTGAACTCCTAATTAAACTCAAACAGTGCTATTTCCTGATTAGGATTTAAGGTTAATTTAAGTGCCTTTTGTGATTTTATTGGGCTCACAGTCATCTGTCACTGTACGATAATGAGGAGTTGGGATGTTTTAGGATCACAAAATCAGGATCTTTCCTCGGGAGAAGCCATTGTGTGGATTTCATCCTGTACTGCCTATGCAATATACTTTTACACCTTTCTAACATTAGGAAGGACATTCTTCCTTCCAGAAAGCGTGTCATCAAATAAGCTGTACTAGCTTTACTACAGTTTTGTACAACTGAGCAGATTTTAGTTACTAGGGAATGTAAATATCTACAATTTACATACACAATTCAATTGAACTTAAATTATACTTCAAACAGAGTGACCTGTGATGCAAGGAATCATGACTCAAGAGATGGCTCGTATTTTCTTCCTGATATTCTTACTGTAAACGTCTTGGTGATCAGTTATTCACTAATGTACAGATTTCTAGCTTGTTAACCCTCAGCTTTAAGGATGGAGGTGAGCAAAGTATTAAATTAAAATGTGCCTGACTATTTTTTAACTGTATTTAGAAATGTACACTTACACACAGTGTGTAAATCAACAAATTTAAATATCATGATTTTTTTTTGTAGTTAAGGAGGGGTTACTCCACTCCAGTTAACAGCCTGTAATTTAATGCCTCCTATATGACTATTTTGTTTGTTTGCCAAATCTGAAAATAGCAAAAACAATGTAGTGAATTACATCCTAGAGAGCCAATAACATGCAAGGCGATGACCTCACAAAAAGAGCTGATGCTTTTGAGGTTTTCCTATAAATGTTTTGCGTTAATTAACTGTTATGGTAATTTCATAAGTTCCACTTTGTGCCTAATACCGGTTTGCCTTTTCCTGTTATTAAAACATGGGTTTACAGTATTTGTATGTAAGATTATATGCATTAACGTAATTCCTATACCGACTTTAAAATGCTACAGGCAATTAATTTTGGTGCTCGTTAGTTCAGTGTTTTTAAAGTTACAATTCTGTCCTTTTCATAACTGGAACCTAAATTCTTCTAAATCTATATACTTCTATCCTCAACATGGATGGCTCTCTGTATCTTTTCCCCATTGTGCCTTTACTCACTTCTTTCAATAAGAAGCTCAAAGGAGAATTCCTTTCCCCACTTTAATTTTTTTATATTGAATTAGAGGAAGACACAATTAAGACCACACAGATGCATTAATAGTCAGCTGAAACCTTGAGTTTTGAGAATGTATAGAACCAGATTTCTAACCGACTGGCCGCACTCTTATTTAAAAACTTTAATAGCGCTTAATTTTTAATTTAATTTTTTTAATATAGCGCTTTTCTAGACACTCCACTCAAAGTGCTTTACAGGTAATGGGAACTCCCCTCCACCACTACCAATGTGTAGCATCCACCTGGGTGATGCACCAGTACACTCCCCACACACCAGCTATCAGTGGGGAGGAGAGCAGAGTAATGAAGCCAGTTCATAGATGAGGATTATTAAGAGGCCATGATTGGTAAGGGCCAATGGGAAATTTGGCCAGGACGCTGGGGTTACACCCCTACTCTTTTCGAGAAACGCCCTGGGATTTTTAATGACCACAGAGTCACGACTTTGGTTTAACGTCTTAACCGAAGGACGGCGCCTGTTTACAGCAAAGTGTCCCTGTCACTATACTGGGGCATTAGGACCCACATGGACTGCAGGGTGAGCGCCCCCTGCTGGCCCCACTAACACCTCTTCCAGCAGCAACCTTAATTTTTCCCAATAGGTCTCCCATCCAGGTACTGGCCAGGCTCACACCCGCTTAGCTTCAGTGGGCAGCCAGTTGTGAGTTGCAGAGTAATATGGCTTTACACTGGAAGTGTCATTTGGTCATCTTCTTGCTTGAAAGCCAGCTGCAGAATTTATTCTAACTGGAAGTTGGGAAGGAATACCTCATGCAGAAATCAATTTTTCATATAAACAGGTGTGTCTTTCTTGTTGACTAACTATAGCCTTTGCTACACATTCTTTACCTCAGCAGTTTACGGCTCTTAACTATCATGGCAAATTGCATGCTAGCATACTTCTTTAGTGGAGAGTAATCACAGCTATGCAGTTAATGATACCTTTTTTTATTGCTAATAAAGCTTTCACAAAGCCAGGAGGAGGGGCATCAAGGGCTTTGAAGTCACCCAGAGTTCCTGTTTTGTCAAAATCATTCCCCCTATGTACTGGAATCAACTAAGGATCTGTCGATATCTTACTTTATTAGATACAGGAAGTTGCAGTGAAAGATTTTAAAACAGCTCTCGGAAATAGAAAATTTCCCTTGTGTTTTTAAGGGACTAATGGAGCATTCTTTACGTAAGCAGGTGTTCTTCAAAATCTATGGAGTAGTGCCTTTTCATTAAATATGTGTTGGTCTTGGTCTATGTTCTATTTCAGGCCCAGATGGAGAGAGTCACTGGTCTAAATACTACCCCTTCTGCGGTGGCGTATTTCAGTCCCCCATTGACTTCCAGACTGAGCTCCTGCAGTACGACTCCACGCTCAAGCCCATAGAGGTCAGAGATTACAATCTGTCTGCCACTGAGCAACTTACTCTGATGAACAACGGCCACTCAGGTCAGTATAAGTACCTCCCCCAGGGTATCCTGTGTCAGAGTTGGTGCATGCAAACAGCCTTTGCAGATCAAATATATTGCAACACTGCATGATTTTGAGATCTCTGTATGGGGGGTGGGGGGGGGAGATGGTTGAAGACTAAGGTGTTTAAAAACTTTCTGAAACCTTAACTGATCAGTCCATTTGGAGTGCACTCCTCCTACCTAAAATTCCTTTACTTCCCACTTATTCTGCAATTGTTACAGTACTGCAAAGAGATCTGAAATCTGCCACTTTACAAAATTGTAAGCATATTTTAGAGGTGGCTGGCTCAAGACAAATACTTTCCATGCCTAATATATTTTTTTTCCCCAAAAGAGCTCTACAGACCTCTAAAGGCTTCCAGATCTTCTACGTACACAAAAAGCTTTTAGAGTATTTACATAATTCCCCGTTGTACTGAGAATATAATTGGTCTTTTGCAAAACATGTATTTTAGTGTGTGTATTAAATACTATATTCCAAGAAGTCAGCTAAATTGTAAAACTCCTCCCTTTTGAAATGAACCAAGGCATAACTTCTGTATGGTTTGAATGCTCCTTCAAGTGAATCTTGAAATAAAGGTTCCTAAAGCTAAGCAACCAAATTCTCAGAAATGATTAAGAAACTAAACTTTTTTTTTAAATTCTCATAAAGAACATTGAGTTGTTTTGCATCTTCAATTTAGCAGCTGCAAAATATTTTGAAGTCATCCCGTTTTTGACTTCGCCTCTAAGTCTAACAATCAGTGAAGCACTCCTCATGATAATAACTTTCTGTGTATGTGTTACAAATTGGACATTGCAGGGCTTGTAAAACCTGGTGAGCACATTTTGGCTGCTGAAATTAATATTTAATTAACCACACAATGGATAGGCAGCTCCCTGTTGGTTATGTATGAGCATTAATTAGGCCTAAGCATGAAATTGCCGTGAGACATATTCATTTGGTGATCAAAAGCACTTCTACAATTTATACCCATCAGGAGACAGTTTTGTAGATAATGTGTAGATATTATTGCAGCATTTTACAAATGACAATTTGTGTTTTAAAGTTTGCCTCTTCTGAGGTGAAAAAAGTCAGCAAACAAAGTGTGTGTGGATTTACCTCTTAAAATAAAGAGCACTGAGCAGTTCCGTTCAATTAAAAAAAGTTTTGTGGTACAAATATTACCTTTCATTCTATGGAGAGAAAAGTCTAATAATGCTAATGCACTGTGCTTTGATGTAAAACATGTAAGGAATGAAATTCCACACAGTTCAAAAGCATTATGTTCTAAGGAATAAGTGGGGAAAAATCCACATGTGTGATTAGGCCTAAAATTGTAGCTCACCACTGTCTGTCTAAGACATTGCATCAGGATAATTATCTTTATAGAATCCTCATACACAAATGTTAGAATAGATAAGTAGCACTTTATTTTTGCATAAATCCTGATCATCTTAATTATGGTAAAACTGAAAAGATCAACCTCGACCTGTGGTTTATGTGCAACCATAATGATATGTTTAATTATTGCCTGCTTCGATGCGTAAATAAGACAAATGTTAGTTTGCAAATCAGACTAAGGTTCCCTTTTGTGCTAAATTACCACGGGCTGCAAGACTGACAGTTGCTCCTAGTGCATTACGACTGCTGACCCTGCTTATTTTCCCATACAACTGCAGTTCTGAAGGTATCCTATGGAAACTCATCTTGAGAGTGCAAAGCATTTGCGTCAGAGGGGTGTGCCTTGTTACAAAACAGGTGGAGGAAAAAAAAAGTCAACTTCTTCTTTTCAAAAAGCTTATTGAGGCATTTAGCTGGGTCATGGAGACTGAAGTTGAGTAGTCATTTTCTTTAATTCTTGACATCTCTGAAATGAAGTCACTTGGAGTGTCTTTGTGTGAAGGCCACTGCATTTTTGTGTTTCTTCATCTTACCAGGAATTTGCAAATAAAGGCTCCGTTACATCTCCTGAGTTCAATGGCTCCATTTGAAACAAACCCATGGCTGAACATTGATCAAAAAGGGTTATCAGAATTTCAGATTAGTTCCATTTTCCAATTAAAGGCATACTTTTCATACATTATCATTTGGCATATAATCTTGTTTCATTACAACAGAGAACTGTAATGTACCTCCGTTCTGCCTGAAATGAAAACCCAAAACGAATTGTTAAATTGGGAACGAGAATGCCGTTCGAGGAGAACTCTTGATCTTTTGCAAAGAGCTGTAGCTGCTTTTGTCCACAGCTGGATGGCTTAGCAAGCAAAGGCCAGATTTTTAGTGTGGTGTACAGCAAGTGTGAGGTATCCACCTGCTATTTTAGTGACGTTGAAGAGTGCTGACTGATCTGCGGCTTTCCTTTCCCAGTGCAATTGTCTCTGCCGTCCCGAATGCACATCGCCAGCCTGCCAAACCGCTACTCGGCCGCCCAGCTTCATTTCCACTGGGGAAGCTCCAGCCTGCCAGCTGGATCTGAGCATGCAATCGATGGCAAACAGTTCGCAGTGGAGGTGAGCTGACCAGAAACTCGTGTTCATTCACCGCAGTGTACACCTGTAATACAGAGCACTTAGTCCCTGCACTACAACATTAACTCTCTGCTTTTCGGAGTTGGAGCCAGTGCCTGCAGCACACATCTGCATTCCTTTTATGATCATCAAATGTTGACTTTCTGTGGCATTTATTTTTCACATTTGCGAATTTTGAATCATATCTAGATGTATATTGTGCATATATGTCTGATTTGGAAGAATCTTATTTGAATGTTGAATGTTAGAACTCTGCTACGTCTGATGTCCTCAAGCTAGAGAGACATGCATTGCCTTTCTGTTCTGCAGTGCAGCAGGGAAGAAATATTTGTAGTGACTATGTATGTTTCACAATGTCTAATTATACAGCTCTATAGGAAATACTTTAGTAGAGATCTCCTTACTTTCTTTACCTTAATGGATGTAAAAGATCCTTCCTGATAATCAAATTATGTTAAAATAATATTAACACTAAACATCGACAACTTCAATCATTTCTTGGAAACATAATTTTTGTTTAAATAACCTCTGTCTACTTTTTTTTAGCTTGCAAGCCAACTTGGCTTTTCTCTTTAAATTATTAAAATGGTGTAAATTACAACTACCAAACCAACAACAGTGTAGAGATCCTTCCTTACCTTAACTGGTTGGATATAAATTTGCGATCTAGACTTTAATACAGCACATTGCACTTGACATTTAACTTGACAGTTAAAATAGGACACTATCAATGATTCCTAAGAAATAGTGTTTTATTAAGACTCATCACTGAAAGGGACTCATTGCATGATTTTGGCCTGGTTTATTCTATCGTTTCTGCCCTTGGAAAAGATGCAGCCATGGGTCACACAATGATGCTATATCAAAGTAAGCCCCAAGAATCTAAACTTGGATGGAAAATCCATGCATCCATGAGACATTCCCACTGTCTGTTCCATTATAGTACCTATTGTTGCCATGGGATGTACAGTAACGTTAGCTTAAGTAGGCTGTTCCTTTCTAAGGAAAAGGACCATTTCATCTACGGTTTTTTTTTCTCCCAAGTCCTTGAACTTAGTAGAAAAGGACTGAAACCATAGCAAAATTATTGCCTAATTAGAAAATGCTAATTAAAAAAAGAAAATGACAATTATTTTAGCATTTTAATGAATCACGTTCAAGACCCTGCATAGCTGTACAGTTGCAATTGGGTTTGTCCTTCAGAACATTGCACAACCTCAGAGCATCCGAAAACTTCACACCTACAGCAGGGCCATCTTGCAATGCTTTTGCATGTATTCCTGGCAGAAGGACATAGCAGCTGATCTGAGGTCAAGTGTCTCGGCTCTTTAATACTGCCTGCTCTGCTTTCTTCACTTTGTAATTGTGTCCTTATTGTCTAGTCTTGAGAGGCGCTTGTGGTTTGGACCGTGCTGCGATCCATCTCTGGATTCCATTCAAGATGTGTAATGTGTTCTTCATTTGTAGTCTGAGATTTCCAGGCTTTAAAATCTTTGCTTTTTTTTTAACTTAAAGCAACCATATCTGTTTTATGCAGGCATGCTGATTCTCTGGGACCGTGGTAACAGTCTACTTAAACTGCATTGTTTTTTTTCTTGGGTTCTGACTTTCTTGCTTGTGGCTTTTAAATTGCTGATGTATAATGAACGATTCCACAAATGTTATGGTTATTGGGAAATGTCAGTATATTTGTAGACTGACACTCAAGACCTAGACCAGAGTTCCCATTACTGATCGTAGAGGAACTTGTATCTACGGGTTTTCATTCCAGCTGAGCTTAATTACTTTATTGTAAAACTTTATAAGCTTGTTTTATACTCGGATGTCTGGAATTGTTACACATGAAATGCAATAGTCAGAAGGGAACAAGCAAAATGTTTGAAGAGGTGAAAATCAAACTGTTACAATTTATTTTGTTGAACAATTAAGGATTCAATTGTGTAACTTGGTTTAGATGGAACAAAAACCAGCAGGCATATGGGCCACTAGGACTGAGAACTCGTGCCATAGTGACTTGCTCATGTAGTTTCAGACCAATTTTAAAGTAAGCTCAGGAAATGAACCTACTGCTTAATAGGCATGTTATTAAAAAACCAGGAAATATAACTTTTTAGAATTTAAAATGCTTTATTATAGGGTCTCTGCTCAAACCTATTACCATAATTAAAGACAATACATTGAATTGAACTATGATCCAAGTTTAATTTTAAAACCATTTTATCTTTTAATATTCATTAAATATAATTAACAGTCCCCCCCCCCCCAATAGTTCTTCATAAGACTCTCCCTTTACATTGGATTGCCAATTTATTACAGGTTTGGCCAATTGAGAAATATATTTTTTCTGTATAGTAAAATTACAAAGTACACCCCATTTCATTTTTTATATATTTTAAATCAGTCTGTACTGATTGTGTCATATTAGAGGAGGGTGTTCATTCTTTTGGGAGATAAATAATTGATCATTTGTACTTTTAAGATTTTCAACCACAAATCATTAATGCCTCTGCCACACGGAAGCCAGGAACAGCAGTAGTTTACCTGTAAAGGGGCACAGCACGATTCTTTAGGTACGACAGGCATATGAATGGGATAGCTCTGAAAAAATGTGGTATGAACCACTTGGCTGAAATTAACTCAACTGAAATGGAAGATGGATTAGACTGTACCACTTTAATTACTACTTTCAGACAATGACGCAAGTGAATACCAGTTCAATATAACTATGGCTGTGGAGATTATATGCTCAGTAGTGCATAAACTACTGACCTGCGCAAAAAGAACTCCTTTACAGGGTCTGTTGGCTTCAAACAATATTGCTGCATATGTCAAGTGTTGTCCTACTATCTAAAGCTGAGGTGCATTTCCAACAAGCCCAAGCTTTCTGAAACTGTAATAGTCATTTGCTCTAGCTAAAGGACAAACGTCTATTGGAATATTTGCATATTTAATCATATATCCCTTTTACTACTTTTGGCTGTACTTATTCCTTAACCTCAGACGTTGACTTAAATAGTACATATGCGGAAGACTCAACAGGATTAACTAGACTGCATGTTGTAAACTGGGCTCATATTCATAACCACCTTTTAAATGGCTTCTTTCTATGTGGCAAAACTGCCACGCCAGCAGCTCCATCTCTGCCATGGTTTACTTGCACATTCAAGTAAACTTTGAGTCTTGGTGGAGGCTCAGAAGGCAATTATTTCAATGGCAGGAATAATTAAGTAGAGTAAGACTACTGTAAATTCTCAGCTTTTCAGAGAGAGTGCTTGCTTCAAAACCTGTGTTTACAAATAACACATGCCGTCTCAATGTTTTCTGTGTGGAATAATCCCTAAATACTTTCATCCTTCCACGTAAAGCACAATTATCTTAAAGACGAAAATCTCATTTAAACTATACTTCAGAATAAATGGGTGAATAGTGGATTTTTAAAAAACTTGATCCATGTTTTAGGAGTAACATGGACAAATGAAGACCTGGAATAAAAAAAAATGGTTTCCAGGATGCAAGTAAAGGTTTATTCCATGCTGAATAAAGAAATAAATAAACATAACCTTTTGGCTGTGGAGCCTTCTACAGGTGTGTGGCTCTTCAGAAGGCTCCACAGCTGAAACGTGTTTTTTCTTCTCTTCTGCAGGGAATAAACCTTTCTTGTTCCTTTGCAGCCTACAGATGCCGACACAGCTCCCTACTTGAACCGTTTTCCAAATAGTTTTAAAGATCATAAAGATTAGGCACAGATCTTGTGCACGATTGTAACCCAGACATTTTTCTGTATGCGTCTCCATGTTTAAGACTTGGGTAGGTGGGGGGGGGGGGGATCAATCTGCAAAATGAAGAGTTAATAATCCGGCTGACAGCTGACCAAGCCTAAATATTCATAAACTGCATCATGGACATCCCTGTTCCAGGGTAGTATCTGCTGGGTTCCATTTTGGCTCAGGGATTTAAGCTAGCAGGTTGGCTTATCTGGACTAATTTAACAACTCTAGGTGCTCTTGAAGAAAATCTTCAAACTCGCAAGCCCTCCAGGAGGAGGACTGGAAATGCCCTGCTATGACTGATAATGATGCAGTTCTTGAATATTTACCTTGCAGGATGTTTAAAGAGTCCTTTTTTTACCCCCAAGATGTAGTAGATCACTTCAGGAGAGGGGAAACAAAGGGGAAGGAGGTGTTTAATTTCTGTGGAAACTTAGCACTGCTTTCAACGGACTGAGATCCATGGCGAACTAGAAGTTTCTTTGCTCTGGAAAGTGAAACGTAGGCAGCACATGCTGAAATATGCTCCTCTTTATAGAGTGGCTTAATTCCATCCTGGAATTAACTTTATATGGTTAGAACTGCATTTTCCCAGATGTGCTGAGCTCCAACTTCAGAACTGGTTTTTTAAAGGCACTTCGATCCATAACCACTCAGTTCCTGTGCACAGTAGTGGCACCGATTCATTAACCCAGGAATGATTGTATTTATTACCTCAGCCAGTGTAAGTATGCAATGCAGTGGAACACCATTTTTTTTTTTGGGGGGTCAACTTTTTTTATAATATGAAGTATGTGGTAGTCATCCCCCTGTAGTGATCAGACATTATTGCATTCTGTTAATACATGATTCAAAGGAATGGTGACTTAATATACTTGTGTATATTTAATATGTACACAGGCTCTTTTAGAGACAATTTGTTCCTACACTAAGAATAAGCTCAGATTCTATTCTATAAAAATATTTAACCTACAGAACAGTTCTAGAAACGTTAGTTTAACTGTCCCAGTACAAAGAGTTTATATAGTAAATACAACATACTTAAAATATTTAACTTCTCTAGACTGTCTGTATATATACAGTGCTTTTTGATGGATGCAGTATCTTGCTTGTTATTCTTGTGATGACCTTTCCCCTCCCAGTGAAATGTCTTCAGCTTCATTTGTGCTTTCTTTCCTAGATGCATGTTGTACATTTCAACTCGGATGTGTATCCCAACAGCTCCGTGGCAGCAGATAAAAAGGATGGTCTGGCTGTATTGGGTATTTTCATTGAGGTGAGATCAGGACAGGAAGTGAATCTTGTTGACGGGAAGTGATCAATTCTGATGATCTGAGATCTGTTTGCTCTAATTTAGGTGGGCCAATTCAATCCAGCCTTTGAACATTTACTCCGATACATTGATGCCGTCAAATATAAAGGTGAATCTCATTTACTTTGATTATTTTTAGAACTTTGGATTTTTTTTTTTTAATCCAACACTATTGAACCCAGTTTCAAGTCGTTTTCTGGAGACTCACAATTCTCATTGGGAAAACAATTTTCTGATTTGTCTTCCTGTCAGTCTGGTATATTTTGCAGTTCCCAGCAATTGTCTCGAGATAATTCATGACCACTGTGCTTTTTCAATCAATTTAAAATGTATAATTTCTCTCTCTCCTGCTAAGATCAGTCTCCGTTGAATTTAAGACTATTAAATGTCTTTCATAGATCAAAACGTGCAGGTTCCAGCGTTCAACATCCAAGAGCTGCTCCCCAAGCGGTTAGATGAATACTACCGCTACGACGGCTCTTTGACAACCCCTCCCTGCTATCCCAGCGTCCTCTGGACAGTGTTCAGGAATCCTGTCAGCATTTCACAGGAGCAGGTAGATCCTGAACCACATGTGGCCGACTGCGTGAAATTCCAATTTGAGCGCTACCTTTTTCTTATTGTACTCTATACTGTAAATGTTACAAGCCACCTGGGTAACCAGCTTGGAGAACCTGATGGATCAAAAACGGGTGATGCTACTATTACATAATCACCGCAACTTCCAGGTTTTTTTTTAACTTCTAAGAAGGCTCGACCTATAACTTTCACAAACCATGTTATGATGTATACAGTGTATGTGAATAGTGAGTATGCTGGTATCTTCCTAGTTCCTGGCACTGGCAACTGCTTTATATGCCACCAGTATGACTGAGCCCACGCCCATAGCTCTGAACGGGAACTACAGGAAACTCCAGGATGGAGATGACAGGCGCATCTTGGTTTCCTTCCGGGATGGTGAGTTTAGACGCACAGAAGCAGAAAACGCAGTAGAAGTTAAGTGCATGACAATGTTTCTTGGGTTACAAATGTTCAATAGCAGTTGAATGGCAGTGCCTCAGAGAGCGATGCTGGAAATGTGAATGAAACAGTTCTTTACAGCGCAGTTTGGCAATACCATATTACTTGCTTGCATTTTTCTTCTGCTGTTGCGCTTCACTGAAAAGACAAAATGTGAATGCATTTCTTTTTTTTTGTTGCGGTTTTCAATGCAAACTTAATTACTTCCATGATAAATGTCAAAGCCTACATGCCTCTTCACCAAGAAAAATGTTCTCCCAAAACGCGAACTCCCATACAAAGTTTTTTTTTTCCCCTGACATTTTAACTTTTAAAAGCGCTATATATATATGAAAACGTATTCCATCAGTTCATGGAGCTTGTAACAAATGTTCAGGAGAAAGATTAAGATCTAACCTTGTACACTTTGGCTCACTTGTATGACTCAGCCAGGATTTCCCTTTGTGTAGATGGGGAGGCAGGAGGGATGCAACATCCTGGCTCTCTTGGCAATAGTGGTGGTGGTGGGGGGGGTTGGGCAGCCTAGCCTCATGGCTGGGCTCTTCATTCCCTCAGCTAGGCAAGACGCGCCAGATACTGCATAAAGATTTTGGTGCTCCATTACATTCATAAGGATCAACCCGAACTACTAAAATGCCATTTTCCGCAACTAACATATTTCCCTGTATCCATCTATATCATGCTGGCCCTGCAATGCACACGCAGAAGCACCCATACAGAGCAGTGAACTAATGGCAAAGTATGGCTTCATCGCTAAACACAATGTTATGCACTGTTAATGAAAAGTTGCATGCCACCTGGATCTCTTTCTCTATTTATATATTTTGCTGAATCCTGATACAATACATAGCAGTAAACGTGCTATATCTCAAATGCATGGAACCAGAGTAAGGCCTGCATGGAATGGGACGGAGCATGAGTCTTCACTAACCTACAGCAACATTGAAGGAGCAAGCTGGGAGCATGCTGGCATAATGCAGCAAGGTGCAGGGTAATGTGATTCCTGTAGGAAACTGATTTAAACTTCTGTGATTGGCTCTGTGTCTGGTGTAGGCAGAGGAAGTGCAGTAATGATGACGCCCCCATTCCTGAGAAGACAAATTGTACAGCACTTGGTAGCTGGTGACCTCTCAGACTTGGAAGAGGAAGGAATGTCGCATTTGCTCCCCAATCTCGGCCGCAAGGCCGGGGTTGGCAAAAAGTGGTCCAACCGCAAACACCACCAGAACAGCTGGAATCGTGCCTCTCCAAACCAGAAATGGTCAAGGACGAAGATCCAAGACAGTCCTGTCATATTCCCTTCCCACTGGAAGTATTCCAGAGCCACAGGACTGGCTGGAAAGTATGGGCCTAAGGATGACCATTTGTGTTTCACAACTTTAGAAAAGGAAGTCCGCTCAAGACTGAAGGGGCATCCCACAGACCAGCAAGTTGTTGAGGCCATTAAGGATGCCATCTTCCCGGAGCTTAACCTGAGGAGTTACCTGGACTGCAAGTCCGAACTTGCCTTCCCAACCATCATGTACCTCCTCAACCAGCACAAGGAAGAAATAGCCGAGCTGGACCGGATGCTGAAACGATTATCTCGGAGGCCAAGGAAAAAGGGTCCAGCTGTGCTTCCCCTGCGCGCCGCAGACGCAAACGAAGTGGGCCTATCGGCCACGTCGGCCCACAGAGGCTCTCACCACCATGCCAGGCACCAGCAGGAAATCGAGTGGGAGGATTAGAGCCAGGATGGGCAGTGAGGAATGGTCTGATGCTCAATGGGAGCATTCCAAGAGCGCTAGAATGCTGAAATAAGTCAACAAGGACATGCCTGCATTTATACCTTCATGGTATTATACAATGCCAAGTGTCTGGCTCTTCACAAAATTCAAGATGGTCTGAGACCATGCAATGCAGAGTATGCATGATGAAAACTCACTATCCTCCTAATTCTGCCACTGGTTTCTCAAGCCGATTCCCTTAACGTACTGGAGGCCAGAAGGGAACAAGTGACGAGAACAAATGTTGGTTAGAAAACGGTAAACTGCACTCAATATAGACCAGAACTGCTTCCAAGAAAGCATTGTAAAGTATTTAAGTTAACAGTACGTGCTAAGGACGTAACGATTATAAAATAGCCTATAAATATCAAACTAACAATCCTGAAACGCTGATAAAGAGAAATTTCCCAAAAGTACAGATGGACTACTGCTTACCTTTCATAACTTGGACAATATTAAAAATATATGCTGACAGTCCATGAGAGAAATGAGACGAGCAGTATCATTCATCCACTCTTCAGTATTCTTTATAGACTATATGTTCTAGAAGACTCGTGTATTGACTTGTAAATATATTATATGACTGTAACAATTCAAATTCTTAAGCTTTACTTCAGATATGTTGTGTAAAAATGGTGTTTATTTTTTAAATTTCATTTGCTGGATGGCTAGATTTAATGTAGCAATTACTCACTGAAGTGGTTAAGATCACAGATGTGAGATGGGAAGAGGTGATCAGCCATTCACAAAGATTTACTGGCATGTAAATATTTCATCAGGTAAATTTTTAATGACCCAGCCAACACTGAGTTGGGTGTATCATTTAAGACGAAAATGGAAACCACATTTCAACTGGAATAGCAATTTCTTGAAAGTGGAATCCCAGGCTAACATTGTAAAATAAACCATCAATGCAAAAAAAAAAATCCTTGAAGTATTTTATTGACTCTTAGTGACTAGTAACTGGCATATGAATTTCAAAAAGCAAACAAAAACCCCAGGAAGTCATGACGTAGCTACATCAGAGGCATTGACAACTTAATTCTATGGAAAACCACCTTGCACTATACTGAGACATGGAATAAACCTAATAGAGCAACATGTACAGTAATTAATAATAATAATTGCTTACACTTATATAGCGCTTTTCTGGACACTCCACTCAAAGCGCTTTACAGGTAATGGGGACTCCCCTCCACCACCACCAATGTGCAGCATCCACCTGGATGATGTACAGTAACAGAACCTTGCCGTTCACTGGAATGCAGTAATTTGAGGGCTATGATTTTGCAATTCATAGCTGAATAAAAGGCTTTGCTTTGGAGGACAGGGTTCTGACATTCACCCAGGCAGTGTTCATGTTTGTGTACTGGGGGGGAGGGGGGAGAGTAGGAGGAAGGAGGGGGGAATGGCACTTCAAAAAAAACAATGAGTGATTGTTTAAACATGCAATTAATATTTAAACCATGGCTCTTAAAACACAAAATGACATCTTTATGCCTTTCCTTCCTCCAAGCCATTTATCTTTCTTTTCATTCTCTGTTTACTGAACCATATTTTTGGCTATACTGTAGTTCTAAAGCAGGGTACTTGACTCTGTAAATCTTTGTAAGACTCTTTCTTTTCTTTTAAAGACTTCCTTCTTGGGATGAACTTGGGTATGTTGACACTTGTGAGATCAGTGTCTCGTTGTGTGTATCTGTTTGCGTGCACGTTTTTCTGTGACTAACCCCTCACACTCTTGAGTATCTGACTCTTTACTGATCAGAGGCCCAGTGAAGGATACAATTAAGATACTGGTCTTTTTTGTCATTCTGAGAAGTTACTGTATTCGGTTTGTGTAAGTACAGTTGTTAAAAGTACACAGAAAATGGTTTTTCAAAGGAGCAGTCTGGTAAGGTTTAGGCTAAACCTAATTGTACATGTATGATTTTGTTTTCTTTTTTTCTAGAATTGCTGTTTCAGATCTTACCTTTGCTAAGTACAGGACACTAAACCTCATCCTTAAACTCATAATGAACTCCAGGTATAATTAATCCTTAATGAGCAAATTCATGCAAGTTAATTGTGCTTTTCTCCTTCAATGTTCAGAGGGGAGGAAGACCTGGTAAAGAGGTTTTTCCCATTTCATTTGAATACATAATTCCCCATTTGTCATATTAAACAGATCTGAGTGCATTAACGCTGTTGTGAATGGTAACTTTTAACTGTGTTTGGAATGTGGTGCATTGCCCTTGTTTTTTACTTGTTTGCTTGCCTTTTGAGATTTTTAGGATCACTGCGTCGGAGAAATAAAGGAAAATAAATGGTAGGGATCATTTAATGCTAGCACTAATTCCAAAGTGGTTGGTTTTAGTTCTGTACTTGTTCTGCATCTGCCATAAGCAAAAAAAAAAAGTGGTTTCTTATCACCAGTAGTGCTCCAAAATGAACTCCTTTTTGCATTGCTAAGTGACTTTGATTTACCATCCATAATATCTAAAGTAAAATTGCAGCTGGTCCATATTAATCCATCAGAGCTGTTAATGTACCACAAACTCCACACCATTACAGCTCTTAAGATTCATTCTCTATACATGAAGCCTCTGCAATTGCCTATTTCCCCATATGCTTGGTCTTTCAAATGACTGATGCTTCAATCGCTCATTCAGACATGCAATGATCTCTGGATCACAACTGTATTTCTTGCATAAAGAAAACTGGATTTGCTCAGATATTTAAAATGCCAACTGCTGGAGATGAGAGAAAAGGCTAAATGCTTTTTCAGGCATTCAATAAGCAGTGAAATACATTAAACCAAAGTACAGCCTGCATAAAATAGATCACTCACAGCTGTGTTCACCATTCCCACATTGAACGAAAATCTCACCTTTTCTAGGCCCACAAAAAAAGTATAGTAAGAAAATGCCATTTCCAATAGAATCCAGTAAGATACCACTTTCTCTTGATGTATTACAGGTGCGGTGCTCTCCATTGTCATTGCTGTTGTGCTTGGACTTGTCCTTATTGGGACCCTTGTCTGCTTCGTGGTCAGAAAGAAACGGTGAGTTGTTGCTAGAGTCAACATAAACTCTTTCAAATGCTCCATGACAAATCTCAAGGTACTATCCATGTTTCGTTGTTTCTCTATTTGCCATCTAAGAACATATATTCTGAAAAGAATCAAGATTGGAGTTTTCATTCAAATGCCATTGTCGCAGCTTGTTACTGAGCTGAGTGGCGATATGTTTTCTAATGGCATAGAAGGGTTTACTTGCGGAGAATCCCAACCCTTGACAATCCAATCATTTTGTTATTAACTGGGTACCTGCCAGTGATTTATCATATAAACTACATGAGAAAAGACCTAGACAAACAGCTTCCACATAGGCCACAAGTTAAACAATCCTTCTCGAACGTTGCTAAGAAACAAATACTACTATCACCAGAGTAATTGGGCAAAACATTATCCCATTGACTATGTACAGGAAAAAAAGTTCACTAAACTTAACGGACATGAAGTGTTTGAGAAGAAACAGGGAGGTTACAATAAAACTTAGATGCCTCTAAAATATTCAAACCTAAAAAGCAGAAACTTCAACATAAAATCAAATATCCACTGTGGGATGGCATTGAGTCACAAATTCTTTCAAGACTGAAGATGAAGCAAATCCTTTTCCATAGTTTTATAGCAGACATTCTCTTTTCTTATAATAATAATAAACTTTATTTTATATAGCGCCTTTAAAGGTGGCTTCTCAAAGCGCTTTACAGGATGACAATAACAATAAATAAGAAGATTACAACAATAAATAAGAAAATTTCACAAGACAGGACACAATTATAATTACAACAATACAACAATAACAATAGAGGAGACCGTGGAAGATGGTATTAAGAAGAGCAGAGGG